TATGTTTATAGCAGCACTATTTGTAATAGCCAGAACCTGGAAGCAACCTAGACACCCCTCAACTTTAGAGTGGATAGAGAAAATTTGGTACATTTACACAATGGAATACTATTCAGCAGGAAAAAAAATGGAATCCTGAAATTTGCAGGCAAATGGATAGCACTAGAAGAAACCATCCTGAGTGAGGTAACCCAGTCACAAAAAGACAAACATGGTATGTACTCACTCATATATGGATTTTAGACATGAATTATGGGAGCACCTGTCTACAGTCCCACTGCCAGAGAGGCATGGAAACAGGAAGGACCCTAAGAGAGATATACATGGTACCCCAGAGAAGGTGGAACGAGGCAAGATCTCCTGAGCAGATCGAGAGCACAGGGTGGGGGAGGGGCAAGGGAGCCAGGAAAAAGAGAGGGAGACAAGAGGAAGGGAGAGGAGGACATGGGAGAGCAGGAAGGTTGAGTTGGGAAGAATAGAGGAGAGCAGGATGAGAGATACCATAATAGAGGGAGCCATTCTAGGTTTGAGGGGAGATCAGGCACTAATGAGAACTCCAGAGATCTACAAGGATGACACCAACTGGCAAACTAAGCAGTAGTGGAGAGACTAACTTTAAATGTCCCTCCCTAATAATGATTTTGACGACTATCTTACATACCATCTTAGAACCTCCATCCAGTGACTGATGGAAGCAAAGGCAGACACCCACAGGTAAACACTGAACTGAACTCCTGGAACCCAGTGACAGAGAGGGAGGAGTGATGAGCAAAGGGGTCACAACTGGACTGGTGAATTCCAGAGAAAAAGCCGACCTGAACAAGGGGGAGATCTTGGACCCCAGACTGATAGCTGAGAGGACCAGCATGGAACTGATCCAGACCCCCTGAATGTGGGTGTCAGTGAGGAGCCTCAGGCAATCTATGGGGTTTTGGGGTAGTAGATCAATATTTATCCCTGGCACACAAATGGACTTTGGGGACCCATCCCACAATGAGGGGTGCTTTCTCAATTTGGACACTTTGGGAAGGGCCTGGGCCCTCCCTGGAAGGAAATGACAGACTCTAGAGATCCCCCATAGAGGACGTTACCCTCCCTGGGGAATGGAGTGGGGACTGGGTGGGGGGCTGGGGGGGAGTGGGCATGGAGGGGAGGAAGAGGGAGCTGGGACTGACATGGGTAGCAAGCTTGTTTCTAATTTAAATATAATATATATATATATATATATATATATATATATATATATATATATAAAGACTTAGTGGCTAAGAGTACATACGGCTTACAGAAGGCCCAGGTTCAGTTTCCAGCACCCACACCAGGCAGCTCACAACTACCTCTACGCAACTCTAGCTCCAAGGGATCTGGCTCCCCTTCCTGACATACATGGGCACACACACACACATGTACATAATTAAAATAAGGAAGCTAGAGAGATGGCTCAATGGTTAATAACACTCATTGCTCTTGAAGAGAATATGTGTTCGAGTTCCAGCATCCATGTAGTAGTTGACAACCATCTGTAACTCCAGTCCCTAGAGACCCAACGACCTCTTCTGAGCAGCTAGGACACCAAGCACACACATATGACACATGCATATATGCAGACAAACACACATAAAATAAAATGAATAAGTCTAATAAAAATTTTAAAATGAAAAGTAAAATCTTTCTTAAAGTAGACAGCAAAAATCTAAGCAGTAAGTATGCTGCTGTACATTTTCCTGGGTTTCCATTTTGTTAAGATTTTAGTGGCAATTTCTTTTAAAAAATATTTTTACTTTTAAGTGTATGGGTGTTCTGTCTACATGTATGTCTACATTTCATATGTGTGCCTGCTGCCTTTGGAGACCAGAAGAGGGTGCTGGATCCCACCCCAAACTGGAGCAGGATAGTTGTGAGCCACTCACCGTGGGGTGCTGAGAACCTGCAAGAGCAGCAAATGCTCCTAATCACTGAGCCAATGCTCTAGCCACCTCCGTCCCTATTTGACACTAAGTTCCCCAGGGCAGAGGTCCTTTGTCTACCTTAAAATCCCTCACTCCACCTATGCTCCTACACAAACCCGTTCTAGTGAAGAACACACAGTGGGGCTTAGATGCAGAGAGACACCTCCCAACAGTTTCTGTAAGACGGTTTTGAGGTGGGAGGTGGAGCATTTCAACTGGAGATACTTTCCAAAATGAAATCTCTCCACGTTGGGTAAGTATCAAGAGCTTGTGAAGAAATGTAAGTCTCTGCCTGCCTGCTTCTACAGCACTTTTCCTGCCCACCATTGCTTCCCAGGGAGTAGAGATTATACTGAAGGATGCCTGGACCCTCCCTGGATGTGGAAGACACCTTCAGTGCTGCATAGGATCTGTGGACCAGTGGTACAACATTTCACCAGCAGGTGTCACTCTCGAGCTTTAGATTCTCAAGTGCCAAATCACAAGGAAGTAAAGAAACAAAAACAAGAAACACTAGCTGCCAAGAGGGGAGCAAGGCTTGGGCTACAGGGAAAGTGTCTTACAGAGAGAAGAGGGAACAGAAACGCCCCAAAACAGTTCTCTCAAGTCACATGACCCAGATTAACAATTTACCGTTCTTTCTTCTCCAAAACACCTTACTCCACGTTTATGGTCTAACCAAGAAAGCCCTCAGACAAATATCCACTGAAGCACCTGCTCACTAGCAAACACCAAAACTGCTGGGGCTATCAAAAACTAGGAAAACCTGAGAAACTGTAGCAAGCAAAAACAGCTAAAGGAGCAGGACCGTGAGATGTAACAGGAGGTCCTGGTTGGTGACCTGGAATTGAAACGACATTAGGCAAAACTACCCAAACTCCAAATAAAGTACTTTGAGTACATAATGTTTATTAAACAATAATGACTGGTTTACTAAGTGAGACAAGCATCTCACATTTGTGTAAAATGTTGCAACTGGGTGTCGAGTACGTGACAACCTGCTCTCGGGTTTTCACAATAACCCTAAAGCTGTTCTGAAATAAAAAGCATATGTTTTTGATTTCTTTTTTATTTCAGAAAAAAAAAGCATCACTAGCTGCCCATTTGGCCACGTAGGATTCTATTTTAAGGACTGTTCCACTGCTTTAAAATGGCTGCTTCTTTTTCAGGCATGTTCTTAAGTGACTGGATGGCAGAAAGGAAAGCCACAGGCTTGAAAGAGCAGACAGGACTTGTGGTAGCAAAAGAGAAGCTGGGGGAAGCGCAGATCCCTGAGGCCACACAGATCACCTCAAAACCCTCTTAACGTTCAGTGTTCACAGCACGTACATCCTCCTCCGACCCTGGTGGGCAAAGGAGGCTGGCAGGTGCAGCAGCAACGGGAAAACTGGGCAGCCCTGGCCATGACTCACACAAGGTCTTGCTGAATGATAAACTAGTCTCTGGAGATTCCTAAGCTCCAAACTTTCCTAAAGCCACTAAAGAAAATGGGGTGCCAAATAGTAATTGTCTCAACTTAGAGGCATTGGAAAACTACTTAATATGTATGTTAGCTGTTCAGTTTGAATTTTTAGTCATCAGCTGTTAAAAGAAAGCAGGGAGTTGTAAGCGGGGAGTCCGTATTATGCTGCATCAATACACAGGGGTAAGTGGTTTTCTTGTTTGTGCTTTAAATGAAAAGCTGTGGTTGTGAAGGAATGGTGTGCTAGATTCCTGCCCCTGTCAGCCACAATCTGAAGCATAAGCTTCGCCTTGTTGGTAGGCAGCCAAACCTCAAGAATAGTGTCTGCCAAGCGGAAAAAGCAGTTTTGGGGAGACTCACTCAAAGCTTCAATCCTTTTGTTTTTGTTGTTGTTCGTTTTTTCCAGACATTGTCTCATACCGTAGCCGAGACCAGATGGAACTCATTATGTAATCCAAGATGGCCTTCAACTCGAAGTAATCCTCCTGCATCTACTTCCTAAGTACTAGGATTATAGGTATGAACCAGAATATCCAGCTACCAAACTTTAATCTTTTAAAGAGTTAGGGTGTCCCCCTTGTAATAAAAAAAATGTCATAATGCAAATGAAACTCTGAACCAGGCACAATAACTTTACACAGGACTGAGGCAGGAGGATTGCCACAGGCTTGAGACTAACCTGGGCTAGATTATGAGTTCTGGGCCAGCTAAAGGAAATAAGATAAGATCATGTACCAGAAAAAAAAATGAAACATGCCTATGCCTGTAGTCCCAGATACTCAATAGGCTGGTGCTGGCTGCTAGTTCAAGGCCAGCCTGGGTAACTTAGTAAAACCCTGTCTCAGAATAAAAATTTAAAAAAAGGGCTGGAGTCCAGCTCAGTAGAGAGCAGATGCCTAGCAAGTGTGAGTCACTGGACTTAATCCTCAGTTCTGAATAAGAGAAAGACAGAGATAGTAGAGACAGAGACAGAGACCTGGGAGGATGGCTCAGTAAGTAAATGATATCTGCAGAAGCTCATAGGCCAAGTTCAGTGCCTGGAATCGTGAAAAGCAGCATAAGTGGTACACACCTGCAATCCCAGCATTCCTTCAGTTGAGATGGAAGGCAGAGACAGGGGACTTGCCCAGAAGCCTATAAACCAACTGCCAGAAGTACACGGAGCAACAGAAACAAGAGCAACCGCACATCAACAAGGTGGGAAGCAAGAGCCAACTCCTGAAGTTGTACTCTGACTTCCAGTACACACACACACACACACACACACACACACACACACACACACATACACATACACACACACACACACTCACACACACTTACTCACTCAGACACTGATTAGTATTATTTAACAAAAAGGGTGGGTGAGAGAAAAAAGTAAAAGCCTATCCATCTTAGCTACAAAACGAGCATAGAGATGGGAAACCGAGACGCAGACACATCACCTCTATCTTACACACACTCTAGGTGGGAGGGTTCAGTATAATATCAGACTGAGCCCATCACTTCAGAGGCAGAAAACTGAGCAACACCCGTGTGAACATAATTCAGGAAAAGCAAGAAACTAGCTGCAGTGACTTACTACCTACGGGAATGAGATGAGTGGGCTGCGATTCTTCCAGTTTGTTCCTCAACCAGTCAAAATCCTGGTATCTTCTGCGAACAGAATATTCCGGCAAGTCAAACTCCACCCGAGTGCTCTGCAAATAAGAAGAGAGGAGGGGACATGTGCACGAGTGAGTAGGAATACATTCTGGCTGGGGAAAAACACTTTTAGAATAACCAAATAAGGCAAGGACACACTTCCTTCCACCCCTGCACCAGACAAAAGGTGGAGTTTACCAGCAGGCTACAAAGTCAAGGAGCTAGGATGGAGCCCAGCATAGTGGCGCATGCCTTTAATTCCAGCACTCAGGAGGCAGAGGCAGGCAGATCTCTGAGATCAAGGCCGGTCTGGTCTACAGAATGATTTCCAGGACAGCCAAGGCTACAAAGAGAAACCCTGTCTCCAAAAACCAATATAGGGTGGGTGGATGGATGGAGAGATGGATGGATAGATGGATGGATGGATGGATGGATGGATGGATGGATGGATGGATGGATGGATGGATGGAGAGAGAGAGAGAGAGAGAGAGAGAGAGAGAGAGAGAGAGAGAGAGAGAGAGAGAGAGAGAGAGAGAGAGAGAGAGAGAGAGAGAGAGAGAGAGAAGATAGGACATCAGATCTTTGGTTTGGTTTTGGTTTTTTTTTTTCTTGCCCTCAGGAAATGGAACTCAGCAATTCCTCAGAATTGTCTAGAACATTTGGTTCATTTCCTCCAGCTTAACTCTCAGAGGACTGTTGTTTTTTCTCCCCAGAATAATACACTTTCAGATATTGCTGCTGAAACCCATGAAAAGGAATGATGATATCTCCACCTTCTGTTACATATGCTGACAAGCCTTGCTGAAACAACTAAGTAAAGATGATAGAAAACTGTTCCTGTGGAAGGCAGAGTCTAAGACATCTGCCAGGTATGGTGGTATATACCTTCAGCCCCAGCTCTCAAGGCAGAGGCAAGAGAACTCTGTGAGTTCAAAGTCAGCCTTGGCCAACATAGTGAATTTCAGCTCAAGAAGGCTACACAGTGAAACCAAAAAAAAAGATTTTTGCTTCATCCATCATATTCTGCCAGAACAATCACTTTGAAAGCATACTGCATTTTAGATCTAGACAAGGAGACATCTAGGGAAAAAATGCCGTTGTGTTGCAGAAAATGTCAACGATCTATGAATTTTTAAAGTTTTCTAACATGTAACTATATCGCTTTAATAATAAATCAATAGTAAATAAAATTAAGTTACACCAAAATATGATTTTTACTTATTGTTATTTCTTCTTGGTTGCATCACTCCTCTCTGTGTGGGTACCAGCAGTTGCCGATCTCAAATATGAGATAAAATGATCTAAGCCACATTTTACAAATTTATTCTGTTTTAATCCAAGACTTCCAGAAAAAAAATATTTAAAATACCTAAGGAAGAGTCATCTACCAAACACGGCTGTGAACAGCTTTTGGCTCTGAGATTATGATGTCATTCTCCCCAAAGCTGTACTCTTGGCCTGAGCAGAACTGGAAGGGGGGTGCTGACCCTAAACGACCTCACCAGCTCCCCATCCAGAACCTGGCATGGTTGAGTATCCAGGAAACACAGTCTTCACCATGTCAAAGCAGGCAGAGCGGGAAGACTCGGGAGGACATACCACAAAGGTACTGCTGAGTTATCAGGAGGCTTCCCAGAGGAAGTGGGGCTGTGGATGAACTCAGGCACAGCATGGCAGGATCACCACTGACACTGTGCTGTGTTCTGTGGAGCCTCCTGAGTCTTAGTTTCCTCAACACCAAGAGAGAGACACTTTCAAGACCCTTACTCCAGCAGAAAACCTGTCAGCAGTGATGAGGGAAAGCAAACCGTTCCCATCATGAATAGGCAACCATTTATCTCCCGCCACCTTCCTAAATGTTCTATGATCAAATCCACCACATTTCTTATTATGTTCATTAAATTAATTCCACAAACCACCATTTATGTAACATTCCTACTCAGTGAAACCAAATACTTGATAACAACAAAAGGCACAAGTAGAAGCTGTGTTTTGCTTCAAATTTTTCTGTATCTGGAGATCTAGCTTCAGATTATATCTGTTTATTTTAAAACTTCAAGTCAGGCAGTAGTGGCACATGCTTTTAATGCCAGCACTTGGGAGGCAGAGGCAGGCGGATCTCTGTGAGTTTGAGGCCAGCCTGGTCTTCAAAGAGAGTTCCAGCACAGTCTCCAAACCTACAGAGAAACCCTGTCTCGGAAGAAAAAAAAAAAAACTTCAAGAAAAATAATAAGTGAAAATGGATATAGTCCTAAATAGATAATATTTAAATTTACAAACTTATTTTTTCTATGCATATTCATTCAGTTTCTGTATCATTCTAATACATCCTGGACGCCTTTGTGTCCAGACCTTTAAAATCACTTAACACATATGCAACATTCAACTGAGTGACTATAACATAATTACTACCTATTTAAGTTGTTTCTGATTTTTTTTGTTTTGATTTGATTTGGTTTGTTTTGTTTTTCAAGACAGGGCTTCTCTGTATTGTTTTGGAGGCTGTCCTGAAACTCGCTCTGTAGACCAGGCTGGCCTCAAACTCACAGAGATCCTCCTGCCTCTGCCTCCCAAGTGCTGGGATTAAAGGCGTGTGCCATCAACGCTCGGCTTGTTTCTGTTTTTTAATCAACAAACAATGTTACAGTAAACATCACTGGGCTTCTATACATTAATCCCACTAAAATAAATTCCTAAGGGTAGAACTGCTGGAGATACCCTGGTTTTGGGTTTTGTTGTTTGTTTGTTTGTTTGTTTGTTTGTTTTAGAGATAGGCTTTCACTATGTAATCCTGGTTGGCTGGCCTGGAAATTACTTTGTAGATCAGGCTGGCCTTGAATTCAGAGATCCACCTGCCTCTGCCTCCCAAATGCTGTGATTAAAGGTGTGTTCCCCTCCATGCCCACCAAGATGGTATCTCTTGGTGTTCAGCACTGTCTATGCCAGCTTCTGGGGAATCCTCCTGCCTCAGCCTCCATCCCACAATAGGAACATTGGGACTGTAGATGTACTGCCATGTCCAGTTTTACATTGAGTTCCAGGACTCAGATTCTGGTCTTTACCATGTGTGGCAACACTCTATCCACCAAGTCATATATAGTGTGTGAGTATTTTGCCTGCATGTATGTCTGCTTGCCATTTACATGTCTAGTACCTGAGGAGGCCAAGAGATAGCATCAGATCCCCTGGAACTGGAGTTTGAAACGTTGAGTGCAGAAAATTGAACGCAAGCCCTCCTGAAGAGCAGTCAGTGCTCTTAACCACTGAGCCATCTCTCCAGCCCAAAATACGTGTGTTTTAAAGGCTCCATTGGGCACCATAGGGTATGTACTACAGCAGGAGATATTTGTCTGATACCGCAAGATAAATATCACCAAGAAGCAAAAAGGACCATTCTTTTTCGGCTCAGAATTTATTTTATTTTTACCACAGCTTGTTCTATGAAAGGTATACTGATACATAAAATACAATCAAATGGGCCGGGCGCTAGTGGCGCACGCCTTTAATCCCAGCACTCGGGAGGCAGAGGCAGGCGGATCTCTGTGCGTTCGAGGCCAGGCTGGACCGATAGCCTCCGAAACAATACAGAGAAACCCTGTCTCGTAAAAACCAAAAAACAAAAAACCAATCAAATGACAAAACTTAGAAATAGGTGAGAAAGATACAGGAAAAACCAGGACGGGGGCCTAGCACAGTGGAGGCAGGTGGGAGGCCAGCACAACAGTTTACCACACAACACTGCAAAGCCGCTGAAAGTGAGCCACACGCATCGCTGTGACTTTCTGAAGAGGAGCTGAGAGAGAGAGAGGACTCAGGAATTCACAAAACAGTTCGATCAACAAAACTCCAGGGACCAGTATAGTCAGTTTTCCTCTGTGAGATCCAGGGTTTCTATTCTCTAATGTCAGCAAACAGAAAGCTAGACAGACACTAATACAATTCCATCCTCAGAAAAGACCTCTTCATCATCCTTCCACTCTATGTCTGTAACCCACAGTGTCCATCAGAGGTCGCCCATCACTCCAGTCAGATCTGAGACAGTAACTAAGCACAGAGAGACTATAAGTGCTAGAAGTCCAGCACTGTTGTTCCATATGAATCCCTCTCTAGTCATCTCTGGAACATCAGCACCAAAGTCACACCCTATCAACACCCAGAAGGACAGTCTGCACCTGCCCCCACAGACTATAAATGATCTCCCTTCCCACCAGACCTAAAAGGCACAGGGCTCTGGAAACCAAATGCCCTACATAGGAGTAGTTTCTATCCTCCAGACTATTGTGTGGGCACCCAAAGATTTGGGTACAAAAGCAGTCTCCAATGGCAACAGAATCCATGGTGGGTTTATTGACACTGGTCAAAACACTATATTAATTTAGCAACTGCCGGGCATTGGTGGTACACGCCTTTAATCCCAGCACTTGGGAGGCAGAGGCAGGCGGATCTCTGTGAGTTCGAGGCCAGCCTGGTCTACAAAGTGAGTTCCAGGATAGCTTCCAAAACTATACAGAGAAACCCTGTCTCAAAAAACCAAAAAAAAAAAAAAAAATAGCAACTGCTGGCTTCCACAAACTCAAAAGTTAAGACTGTCCTCTGGTAACACCTGAGCACTTAGCAATATCAAAGTGCAACACACACTCTACAACAGGGTCCCTAACACTGCCAAACAACCTCAACCTTCCCTGCATCACCATGCAATCTCAGCATTCCCTGTATCACCAAGCAACCTCAATACTCCCTGTATCACCAGTTATTAAAAAGCTGTAGACACCTTGAAAACTTCTTAACCTCCCTTCATTCCTGCCAGCTGATCTTGTCACTCTGTCCTAGAGAAAACTGCAGATATACGCAAAAAATCCCTTAACTTCCTGCCACGAGACAAGCTCCCCTTCCTTTTCCCAGAACAATGGGCAGAGTGTGCTTCTCCTACCAGAGTCCAAGACATACGCTTGTTCTCAACATACATCCCCTCTCAAACCCAGCAACTCCAGTCCTACTCTCCAATCTTCACCCCATGTCTACTTTTCCCTATGCCAACCCTGTTTGTCCATCTCGTTATTAATTCTTCTTCATCCTCAAAAATAAAAGCATGTAAGCTAGACATAGTGATACATATCTGTAATTCCAGCACTTGGGAGGCTAAGGCAAGAGGATAAAGAATGAGTTCTATGCAAGTCTAGACTACACAGCAGGTTTAGTCAGCAAGACTCTGTCTAACATACACACACACACACACACACACACACACACACACACACACACACAGCTTCTCTCTCATTCAAGTGCTCTTTTGTAGTTACTGCTCTTACTTGATGTTATGTTCTTGCCAAGTGAACTGCCAACCTACCAACATGCACATCTTTTCCCCTTACCTCCCATTCACGGTATCAACTTCGAACCACAGCTGGGTGGTGGTGGCGCACGCCTTTAATCCCAGCACTCGGAAGGCAGAGGCAGGCGGATCTCGAGTTCGAGGCCAGGCTAGACCGACAGCCTCCAAAACAATACAGAGAAACCCTGTCTCGTAAAAACCAAAAAAAAAAAAAAAAAATCAACTTCAAACCACACCAGTGAAACTGCTCAAACCACAGTCCAAACCCTTGCCACTAAATCAAATGTCCACATATGATCCTGAACTCCATATCCAAACCTCTTTGCAGTGTTTATACTACACTCTGATGAGAAACTGGCTAAAGCAAAGGAGCTGGTAATAACAAGCAGACATAACCCTGGGTGTGTCTCCAGGGTGACTCCAAATCCACTGGAACTGACAATAAAGATGTACTCTGGACTCAAGCTCCAGCCCCACAGACATCAGCTGCATGTCACTGAGCAATTAAATTTGTGTCGTTGTGTCTAAGCTCCATTTTAAAACTAAGTATAGTTGCAATATTCACTTCACTGTGTAAAGATTAGCAAGATACTTAGAGCACTTTGTGCAAAGTAAACAATAAGACAGCGGACAAGAGAACAGGACTGTAGTCTCAGAGGTGAGGCAAAGCGTGCTGCCTGGGACTTGCTATATGACATATGCAATGCAGTCAGTGAGCTGGCTACATACAAATGTTCATTTTCATGAAAGAAGAGAGACAACAGCACACTAGATCACCAATGGTTATTTCTGACTGTGAGTTTATATAAGTATGTTTTCATCTTATTATTTTAGCTTACTTTCATTTTCTAAGTTTTCTACAAAAGATTAACTACATAAAATAAAAAAATGAAATTTCCATCACAAAATGAATTGATATGTGGTTACATGTCCAATAATTGGCTGTAACGGTGTTATGACTTTCTAAGAGCCTGCAGAGAAGAGGGCCAGGAGCTACTGGACTACACGGGCTGTGCTGTATGGACCTAGTTATCAAAGAGCAAGGAATGGGTGGTGGAGATTGGATGTCTCAGCTAACTTCAGCTCAGTACTGTGTCATCAAGAACCAAATTAGGGGGCCGAGGAGATGGCTTAGTGGTTAAGAGCACTGACTGCTCTTCCAGACCTGGGCTCAATTCCCAGCACACACATGGCAGCTAACAACTGTCTGTAACTCCAAGAACCGATACCCTCACACAGACAAACATGCAAAGCACCAATGCACATAAAAATAAACATAAATAAAGTTTAAAAAGAAAGAAAAGAATAAATCTGTATTACAGGGGCCAGAGAGGTAGCTCAGTGGTTAAAAAGCACTGACTTCTCTTCCAGAAGATGAAGGTTCGAGCCCCAGCATCCACATGGCAGCTCACAATCATTTGAATCCCCAGTACCAGGGGATGTAAGGCCCTCTTCTTGACTCCAAAGGGCACCAGGCATGCACACTATGTATAGACATACATGTAACCAAATATTCATAAACACAAATTTTTTAAAAGTTAAAAAAAAAAAAGAAATCTGACTTAGAGGTAGTCATAGAAACACAGACTTAGGGGGTAGAAGGGATACCTCTTTGAGTTCTAGGCCAGCCGGGGCCATATAGTGATCCCTGTCTCAATCATCATCATCATTGCATTCATCATTTGGAGGGTTAAGGGGCTTAAAATTGTAGCACCTCATGCTATGACCACTAACTCTCCCTGAGGACCTCAGCAGAATGCAAGTCCCGGGTATAGGATCTTGTGGCCCGTCTGTGCTTTCTCTCATTCCAAGATATCACTATCTATCCTGTGAACAGCTGAGATACTGAACTGTGGGAACACCAGACCTTGAGCAGAGACCCACTTCCCCTTCAGCCTGGGAGTAGGCAGCTGTAAGACAATGTTTACTAAAAACATGTTTACTAAAAACAATACAATGCCCGGGGCAATAAGTTCCTGGAAAAGGCCTGCCCACGGAAATCGCCCTGACCTCCACCTTGTCCAAAGACTAACCACCTCTTCTGACATGCCCAGATCAGTTTTTGGTGTCAGAGCAGAACCAGCCAGGGTAGAGGAGAGAGCAGAAGCTTCTCTGGTGGGAGCCTTTCTTAGGAAGTTTTCTTGAACCTTTTTGGGGCCTGCTTAAAGTTTTCTTTATGTCGTTGAACGAGTCTCTATGTTGTCAGTCCCCGACACCCTCCGCACGTTCTCAGACACAGGCCGCGCAGCAGACGCAACATTGAACCTGGTCCACTTTTAGAGCAGGCAACTCTGGGGGTCAGAAGTACAAGGAGAGAGATAATAAAGAGTAAGAATACGGCAGCAACTAGTCACACCCAAGTAAAACCCAGGACTAGAATCTGAAAACAGCAGCTTCTCAGTTACGGGGAATCAAATAATCCCAGGAGGAAGGACAGAAACAGGAACACAGAGGGGGAAAGGTAGGCAAGGAAGGAGAGAGAAGAGGCCTAGGCGAGATGGTGAGTTAGAGCAGGTGCAATAGCCAATGAACCAGGTAAGCCCTGCAGGGTTTGCTTTAATGTGTATGTGTGTGGGGTTTTTTTTTGGGGGGGGCTGCCGGGTGCAGGAATCAAGTAGTGCACGGCTGTGCCAGCAAGGCAGCCACCTGTCACCAGGCTGCTTACAGCACCGAGTCAAGAAAAACAGGTTTTGCATTTTACTACTACAGGGTGAAAAGTAAGCTCACCCCCAAGAAAGAGTAAACAAACAGAAAGCATTCCTGGAGATATGAACATCACCTGGACCTCTAAGGAAATCATACATGTGTGAATACCCCCTCAGGGCAATAATGGGGCAGATACACATGGACAGGCAAACCTTCAAGTGTGAGCCAGATACAGAAAGATGGGATACAGTGACTTTTAAAAAACTGAGAATGGTTTAAATGTACACACACACACACACACACACACACACACACACACACACACACGAGGGGGGGAATTATATAATCATTGCATAATTAGGCAGACCCAGAGAGTAAGCTACACGTAGTTATGTGGGCATGGGAAGGGCTTCCAAAAAAAAACAGCTGCCGAGCAGAAAGAAGGTGAGAGAGCAGCACACACCGAAACCCAAACAACGTGCATTCGGTGTGTGCCGTAGAGAAGGGACAGGCAGGCACACGCCAAGCTGCTTCTGGTGAGAAGACCGTCCAGCTGACGAGGGGAAGGGAGGGTGAAATTTCCACTCTATATTTGGTCTTTGGAACTGTTTCTGTTTTACAAACATGTAGTTTACTGTTCGTGTGATTTTTAAAATATAGTATTTCCACCCAATAAAAGATGAATTCACTACAGAGTGAATTCCAGGACAGGCTCCAAAGCTACAGAGAAACGCTGTCTTGAAAAACCAAAACCAAAAATAAAAAGAGAGAGAGAAACCTAGTTACCAATTTTGTTGCCCTATACAAATTATTCAGTTTCCTCACCTATAAAATTCTAACTACACACAAAGCTTTTAGGATTTCTGTAAAAACTAGTTAATTTAGTCCCAGTGCTCTGCCTTCTATCAGTCTGGTAGATGGCATGGCAGAGAGTCACCAGGCATCAGTTTCAGGCCCCTTATTTCTGTCTTTAACTCCATTTAGGCCAAATCCTGGCCCCATCACAGAGGCTTAGACTGGTACACAGTCGTGCATATTGCGAAATGAACACATTAAGCAAAACCATATGACACAGAGGTGTTACAGGGATTGAATGTTTTATTTAAACTACTTCAACCACAATTTCTCCTCACTTTAAGGATAAAAACATATTATATCATTCTTTTAACCTTTGATATAACCACTTTCTCCCACAACTGTAATAAGGTCGCTAGAGGAGAGGCAGCAGAGGCAGAGGGAGGATCTCAAGAGGCCCAGAGCATTGTCCTGGGTTGCCTCCTTCCTATTGCCGTAATAAACACCATGACCAAAAGCAACTTGGGAAGGAAGGCTCTATTTGGCTTACACATCCCAATCACAGTTCATCACTCAGGGGAATCAAGGCAGGAACCTGGAGGCAGGGACTGATGCAGGGACCATGGAGGAGGGCTGCTTACTGGCTTTGTTCTGCGGCCATGGTTAACTACCTTCCTCACAGGACCACCTGCCCAGGATTGGCACCACCTATACTGGGCTGAGCTTTTTTACATCAATCATGAATTAAGAAAATGCTCCTCAGGCTTTCCTATGGGCCAGGCTTATAGAGGATTCCTCCTCCAGATAACCATAGCCTGTGTCTATTGCCCAAAAACAAAAGCAAAAAACACAAGCACAAGTATGAATTCCAACACTCTGAAACAAAGGGACCTACTTTGGTGGTGATCCTGTATGTGATGTAGGTCTCCATGGTACAGACATGCTTCTTGGGATCATCAACAGTGACAAAGAGATCTCTGGTTTCACCGTCAATGTCATCATCAAGCTGGAGTCTGTTCAGAAGGGAAGAGGAAGAGGCTGGGCTCGAAGTGCCTGCTGGAGTACCCCCATTGGGCAAAATGAGATCCTGAAAGAAGAAAAGAACAGCCTTACAAATCACATGAATGGAGAGCCTCACCAACCACAGCTGCTGCGGCCAAGCTGAAACACACCTCAAAAACAACTTCCAAAAGCGCCTGCATCTTAGATGAACAGGTCAGAGGAAGAACTCAAGCAGGACCTGATGCAGAGGCCATAGAGAAATGCTGCTTACTGGCTTGCTCAATCTGCTTTCTCATAGACCCCAGAATGACCTGTCTAGGGCTGGTACCTTCCAAAGTGGGCTCAGTCCTCCCACATCAATCATTAATCAACACAATGCCCCATAGACTTCTACAGGCAGGCATGACGGAGGTGTCTTCGAGATTGAGGTTCATTTTCCCAGATGGCTCTAGCTTATGCCAAGATGACAAAAAGCTAACCAGATCTTAGCCCATCATACCATCTGTCCTCTGTTGTACTTAATTTAAAATTCCACAGTAAAAAAATGATTAAAGAGATTATCGGAGGGAGGGAGGGAGGGAGGGAGGGAGGGAGGGAGGGAGGGAGGGCAGACTGCAAAACAATAGCTCTCATTCTCTTTCTACCTTGGGATGAAGGTCTAAGGCTACCTGGATAAATTACATGTTAAGAATTTGTTACAAATATTTTTATTTATATTTTTGGTCTTTCGAGACAGTGCCTCCCTGTGTAGCCTTGACTATCCTGGAACTCATTCTGTGGACCAGACTTGGCCTTGAACTCAAGAGATTCACCTGCCCAGTTTGTTGTTGTTGTTTATTTTGTTCTGTTTATGTTTGCAAATATAGTACTTTTAAAAGGCTGTGGTGGTTTGAAAGGAAATGGTTCCTACAGGCTCCATAAGGAATGGCACTATTAAGAGCTATGGTCTTGTTGGAGTAGCTGTGGCCTTGTTAAAGGAATTGTGTCATGGGGTGGGCTTTCTGGTTTCTAATGCTCCAGCCAGGCCCAGTGTCTGTCTCTTCCTGCTGCCTGCTGATCCAGACGTAGAACTCTAAGCTACTTCTCCAGCACCATGTCTGCCTGTATGCCACCACGGTTCCCACCATGAAATAATGAACTAAATCTCTGAAACTGTAAGCCAGCCCCAGTTAAATGTTCCTTTATAAGAGTTGCCGTGGCCATGGCTCTCTTCACAGCAATAGAAACCCTAACTAAGATAAAGGCCGTAGACATTTAAGGCCTAGTTTCACAGTTCCTCTGTTGTGTTAGGACCCTGTCTAGCAGAAGATGGAAAGACGTCTGATTAAGAATGTGGCAAAAAAAAAAAAAAAGTGACAAGATACCAGTGGAAAGGCATTCCTGACCCCAGATCATAGGGTAGGGTCAAGGAAGTGCTCTGGGAGCTCTGATCTGTTTCCTGGGAGCTGAACAGAGGAGACCCCAAAGAAGAAAGATAAGACAGAGCAGAGGAAAGCATGGCCTGGGGTAAAGAGAAATGTCATCGGCTCACTGGGTGACAGAAGTACACAGAAGGTTCTCCCCTTTGCCTCCCATCTGCACCAGCTACAGATTAATCATATACTTAAGGCAGTGTCAAAAATAAAAGATTCGCCAGGTGCAGTGGTACATGCCTTTAATTCTAATACTGGGAAGGAAGATTGAAGCAGGTGGCTCCTCTGTGAGTTCAAGGCTAGCTTGGTCTATATAGTGAGTTCCAGAACAGCTGGGGCTATGTAATAGAGAGACCTGTCTCAAAAACACAGAACAAAAAAAAATTAGTTTTTGTAACTATTAAAAGGGTGCCATCTTTTGTAGTAGGCTTTCTCTTTGGGCCACCAATCAGCTCACAAATAAAGACATGGAGACTTCTTATTAGTTATGAAAGCTTGGCCCTATCTTATGCTTGTCCCACTATCTCTTGTAACTTAATTTAACCTGTTTCTCTTCAGAGCTTTTTCCCTTTCTTTCATTCAGTATGTCCTACTTTCCTGCTTCCTCTGTGTCTGTCTGACTGGCAGCTGCCTGGCTGGCTGGTCCCAGATGTCGCCCTCTTTCTCCTTTGTTCTCTTCTCTCTAGCCTAGATTCTTCCTACTATTTATTCTCTCTACCCGCCAGCCCTGCCTTTCCCTCTACTGCCTAGCTATTGGCCATTTGGCCTTTTATTAGACCAGCCAGGCAGGCAAGGTAAAACAAATGTGGCACATCTTTACATAGTTAAACTAATATTCCACAGCAAGCTTTATAACTGTGCTTCCAACTGCAAGCAGCATGAGGGGCGGCCAGCTGGGTGTGGTGTGGATATAAAGGCAGAGCCAGCCGGGCGGTGGTGGCGCACACCTTTAATCCCAGCACTCGGGAGGCAGAGGCAGGCGGATCTCTGTGAGTTCGAGGCCAGGCTGGACAGATAGCCTCCAAAACAATACAGAGAAACCCTGTCTCGTAAAAACCAAAAAAAAAAAAAAAAAAAAAAGGCGGAGTCTTGCTACAGCAGCTGCCGCTGACCTGCTGGCCTTCTCAGAGCACCTATACTACAGGGCATGCATGGAGTGTCACACTCAGTGTCTGGAGGTCTGAGATAGCCATGGTGGCACTGCCCCTTCGATAAAATTTTTAACATGGACTGCAGGCAAGTCACCTTGTTAGACTCCCCCAAGGGCCCACCTTTACATTTATCAGCACTAGAGCACTGGCCTCAGAACAGTTCAGTCAGTGGCTAACACTGCACAAAAGAAATAAAGAAATCAAACCCTTGGCCAAACAAGCCAGTCAACTCAAATACTGGTCTTTTGTGATCTAGCCTGGCTAACTCTGGAAGACACCATGTTTTCATATACTTTGTTTGAAATAAAAGCATGGCAATATCGCCAAATATGCCAAATGTGCTCTCTCTCTCCTCTCTCTCTCCTCTCTCCTCTCTCCTCTCTCCCTCTCCCTCTCCCTCTCCCTCTCCCTCTCCCTCTCTCTCTCTCTCTCTCTCCTTCCCTGCCCCTCTCTTCTCCACACTTGGAAGTCACCTGCACTGAAGCAACTTTTGCAGAGGACCAAGGTTTAGTTCCCATCTGGTAGCTCACAACTGTCTGTAATTCCAGTTCCAAAGGATCCAAAGTTCTTTTATCCCATCTGTAGGCACCATGCACAAATGGTGCACACATGTGGTGCATATACATACATGCAGGCAAACAAACATTCATACACACAAAACAAAAAAAATGTATTTTTAAATCATTGATTTACACAACTGACTTATCCACAAACAATGTTTCTCCCTGTGTGTGCATGTGCTAGTGTAATTATCTATATGGCTTCTCTTGCCTAATCTACAGAGACTCTATACCAACTCTTCTAGGTTTGTCCCTAGGGACCTCAGTCAGTAACCTTGTGGAATAGAATCTGAAATGCCCTGACCAGTATAGGAAGAGTCAGTCAACCAAACCCTCAAATCCAGTCACAACCAAATCTCATGGTAGCAGCACCATCTATGACCAACATGAGCTGGAGACACTGGAGCAGGTACTCTTAGGCTAAGTTATCATCAATCAGTTCTCCATTGCACAGCTAGGGTGCTTCTAAAATAAATCTAAATCCGAGGCTAGAGAGATTCAGAAGTTCTGAATGCTTGATGTTAGCAGAGAACACCACATAGGGTGGCTCACAACTGCCTGGGACTCCAGCACTAAGGGACCTGACACCCTCTCCTGGTATCCTCAAGTACCTGCACTCATGAGAACAAACTACACAAAGACATGTGTATGTATATAAATAAATAAATAAGGCAAGTTCCAAGACAGCCAGGACTATACAGTGAGATCCTGACTTAAAAAAATTACTTTAGAAATATAAATCAAACATCCTGCTTCCTTGCTTAAAATTCTCAAAACTGGGACGTGGAGAGATGGCTCAGTGGTTAAGAGCACTAGCTGCTCTTTTAGAGGTTCTGAGTTCAGTTCCTAGCAACCACATGGTAGTTCACAACCATCTCTAATGGGATCTGATGCCCTCTTCTGCCATGAAGGAGGCATACATGCAGATACATATAAAATAAATAAGTAAATCCTTTTAAAAAGTTCCCAAAACCATCCCATGACACAAAGTCTAAACTGACTCCCAGAGAATGGACACTACTAGCTCTCACCCCTCCCTCCTCCTCACCCCTTCTCTCCCCCAGCTCCTCCTGCTCTGGATCACTGGCCTTCTGCCTGGCCCTTGTGGCTATTCCCTCTCTTCATACATATGGTTGCTCAAATGATACCTACTTGAGAGGTCTTCGTCCATTAAACTCTAAAAATAACCCCATATACTTTCATCACTCTTCAACTCCTTCTCCAGCTTTGTTTTCTTGGCAGGATTAACATATATGAACTTGTATTACATACTCACTGATTTGACTGCCTGACTCTTTACTCATATGTCAATTCCATGAAAGCAAAGACCAGCCATATAGTGGGTACTCGAAAGAATGTGATGGGTGAGTCTCAGAAATGACCCAACTAGATCCTTTGCCAACAGAAGATACCCAACAGGCACCTGTGGAGTGAGAACACCTCCAAGGGAAACCTGAGCCACACTGCCCATTTTAAACAGCTGACTCTACCAGCAGTGAGATAACACTCTAGTTCTCTCATTTGCAATAAGGGTAGAACAGCAGAGGGAGTCAGTATACCGAAAGTGTGTGAGCAATGAGAACATGGTGAGATGTCATGTTCTGTTCTGTTTAAAAATAAAAATAAAAACCACATTCATTTTGTCTGTTAAGTACCCTTACATCTTATAAACTGTGGGGCTGGGTTCACCATAGGCAAATGACTGTTACTAAAAAGAAAAATCACAATACAGACATGGCTGGTACCTCAAATTCATTTTCTTACTAGTTTTATCATGCCCAAACCTACCTACAATAGCCCCTGTGAACTATGGTAACTGATTGCTGATTAACACATAAAAACATTCATTTCAGCCAGTCACGGTGGTGTTCACCTTGAATCCCAGCACCCAGGAGGCAAAGACAGGTGGATCTCTGTGAGTTCAAAGCCAGCCTGGTCTATAGAACAAGTTCCAGGACAGCC